AAGCGATCATGAATGTGTGCAGCCTCCCATATGCCAGCTCACAATGACTGTTGACAGGCAGAGATCGCTTGTATGCCGCTGTCATCCGTGTGTCCTCAGGCTTCGGCACGAGTTTGCGAGTAGGTCTGGGCTTGGTTCTTAAAGGTTTTTGAAGATAGCTGTCTGTCTTAACTCTTTCTTTTTGTAACATTAGGTCAGTATTCAGAACTTAGTTCTGGTCCATTTTTGTATAACATCATAATGTTTCTGCTAAGTTACTTTTCAAAACAAAAACAAGTGTCATTTATAATATGTTCTATGCTCATACATTAAAAATGCAAGAACAGTAACAGTTGCAACATGCAGCTTTTGTTTGTCTACTCTCCAATAATAAGTGTTTTAAATGAACTGGAGTCTGGTCTGACTCGATATTTTGCTCATCTCGCTCTTGACCAGAAAGAGGAAAAATAGTGATATTACTGCTGATTTGGCCATTCCTTTATATTGATTAAATATCCAGCTCAACTTTTTTTTCTTTTGTAAGCTACAGCAGTTCTATACTTACCTATAGTCTTCTATTGGCTGTGTTAAACCTGTTTTCCTGCAGGTGTTCAGGTGAAAGAAGGAAGTTCATTGAACTTTTTGAAACAAACACCCAAAAATATTTGGAAATGTACAAATGAAAAGTAAGGTGAACCAGTGGCACTTTTGTATTCTTAATGCACATTTTAGGTGAACTGCGCTTTGGTATGAACCTGAAATAATTGGAGTGCATTTGGATAATTCACATATAAGCAGGGGTGCACAAGATTTTCAGTCTGGTTCTCATGACAGCACCTGGAGATTTGAGTTGGTGCTCACACTGTACTTAGTGTGACCAATTAAATATTACTATAGAAAATCATTAATGATAGTAATAATAGCGTTATTGCACTTTATTCACTTGGTTTATTTCTAAAATAATAAACAAAGTAATAAATAAAGTGTAACAATACTATTATATTTTTATATAAAAAGGAGTATTAAATAAAAATACAATTATTTTACTGTACACTTTAAAAATACAATGCTAATATTTACTTTTTTTTAATGTGAATTTTCAAACATTTCAAACCTAAAATCAGCAAGCTTTTATTTTGGCGGGTTGCCAGCAAGTAAGTATATGCACTTCGAATGGAAATCTTACACACAGGGATTGAAATTAACTTTTTCACTCACCAGCCAATTTGGCTACTAAATTTTTAAGTAACCGGCCATTCATATCGTCTACT